AAGCAGCCAGAAGCGCTTTTGCCAGGCCTTCAAGATTCTTCAAGTCTCCGTCCAGTTGGAGTTCTCTTACATCTGTCCTGTCGGTCTTGCTCTATCTCTAGGTTGAAGTAGTATCAATATCAATGGAGACCGCCTAAACAATGTCAGGCTTTCACACCACTGCTTGTTGGCCTGTGAAGATCACGCGAACAATGATGCAGTTTCTGTGTGGCATCTCCCTCACGCCGTTGAGGTGTCGACATCCAGGCAGCTGCGATGTGAACCTCTCTGACCATTGTGTTGTTGGGCGCATAGCTTTCTGAGCTTGGTATTGCTTGCCGCTGGGCTTTTGCTTTTTGTTGCTCGTACTAGTCGTGCCTGGGACTGCATGTAGAAGAACGCTAACATCGTTTGGACTTAGAAGGCGTATCTTTGCCTTGTCACGCCGCTGTTGCTACTCCTCTCTCCTTTGCAACAGATTCAAGTCCCGAATCCTGTGAATGCTGGGGCGACAGTTGCAAAATTCAAAGATTCGAGTGTTCAGTTGCCTCCGTGTCTGAACATGCAAACGGCGGCGTGCCTTTTCTCGCAAGCGGGCTTGCGCAGCCAAGATGGAGGCTGAAGCACGCAAACCGACGGAGGCCCCCACTGGGTCGCTGAGATTTGCAAGCAATCAAATCTCAAAAGTCCGAAGACCCGTAGATTTCAAGCCCGGAAGCCAATCTAGCTGCCCTGGCACAAACATGTTTGGGAACCAGAAATCCGTCAGTCGCCAGAGCGGAAAGCTAACGTGCCCAAGCGCTAAGGAACCGCCAAGAACCCCTCAATCACTTCTAACTCTAGTCCCACTCAGTTGCTGCGTTTTTCGTCCAGCCGTCTCATTCCGCTTTTTTCGTTCTGTCGCCAAGGCCAGGGAGTGCTTCACACACTGTCCTGACGGTGTGACATCACGTGACTTGACCTGGTCCTACAGTGTTGTCAGAACTAGTTTGGGTGCTTGGGTTTATTCTGAAGTTTGAGTCTTCTGTTGTCAGGCTGTTAGATGCTGATAAGTCCTTTCCACTGGCGACAGGAGGGTTGTTGCTCTTCTGCCGATGAGTCGCAAGAAGTAGTCACTGTCGCGAAGTCCTGCAGCTCGTTTGGGCACTCTTTGCGTGGCATAGTCTGCAAGCCAACACCGACTTTCCTGGAACTTCGCCATGATCTCCTACGGCGGCTTGGCTTCTGGGCCAGTGCCGGGGCAGCATGTTGTAGGGCCTTCCAGCGCGCCGCAGCCTCCTCTTCGAGGTTCTTTTGGAGGGCACGGCGCAGCCAGCGTGGTTGCCTCAGGTGTTGCAGCTGTTGCGGCCGGGGCATCACTCCGGAAGGGCGCAAAGAGCATTAGGGGTCGCATTGCAGTGAAAGACGCAGTGAAGCCCGGGCACGTGGACCTCAGCACCCTGCCCAAGACCCTGGAGATCAATTACTACAAGCTGTCGGACGTGGACCGCTCAGAAATCCTGTCAGCTGTCAAGGGGGCACTCAAGGCCATGCAGGCGATTCTGCAGCAGACTTGTGCCCCAAAAGATCTGTGAGCCCAAAATTCGGTCCATGCTTACGTC